GTGGACTTCATTAAATTCTGTATGACATTTTCAAGAAAATTCTATCCAGTTTTCTGGTTTTATTAATAAGAATGTCAAAAGAAGCTTCAAATATGCAATATGCTTTTTTCTGTAACCAACAATAAACCATTTGCTTTAGCTGTTTCAGTTTTGTTTTTTACATTTATCAGTTTACTGCAGTCAACAAACACGTTTTTGGTCGTAATTTCTTATGATCGCACAAACAATTTTTGTTCTTGTTTTTGACTTCTTTTTATTTCTTTTTGCTGATTTTGTTGTCCTGTATTAAACTGTAGTAGCGAAGAGATAGCCAAGAATTTGATAAGCCTAAGACTAGTTGGAGAGGAAAAAATGTAGAAGAAGCCAATTTTCTTTTTTTGGCTTTCTGAATTATCTCTTAGAAAATATGAATTGAACAACTTTCAAGCTGTGTTTGTGTAAAAAAAAGGTTAGTGTTTATTTTAGAAAACAAAAAAAAAAAATCATTGTTTTCAGTTGTTGTTTAGTTGCTGCTTCTTTTCTTTTGTTAGACTAAACTTAGAAAAAAACCTTATAAATGCCGTCAGTGTCCAATGCTACTAAAAATGAAAAAGGTTTTTTTGCTCTTTTTTTATTCTTATTTTACACTGCTCTATGTTGCCAGAATTTTTTGTTATTAATATTTATGACAAATTTTTGCTAAGGTTCATTTAACTGCTGACATATAACAGCAGTGTAACTATGGCATCAAACTTACTTTGGCTATTTGTTGTTCGTTTTCTTTTTTCTGTACGAACAGTCAAAGATGTTTTTGATGCTTAGATCGTTAAGGTTTATTTTTTGCCAAATTTAAAGCTTATCGCTAACAAGCTGATCATCTTATTACAAGAACTGAGGTCAATCCAAATAGTAGTTTTGCTGTTTATAGATGCAAAAAATTAATCATATGTTGATTAGAACTTTCACCGAGATTGCAGAAAAAAAAAGAACTTTTTACTTATTAATGTTAGAAAAACGGAAATAGCTGATAAAAACATTAAAATCTTTATAAGTAAATCTGAGAGAAAATAGTTGTTGCATAGTTTGTGTGTTAAGTTTTTTAAAAACCATATCAAATGCGCGAAAAATAACTGTTATAATAAGGAAAAAAATAGAAAAACCCAGGTTGACTAAACAGATGTCACCAAATTGAATCGCGTTGTTCATTTCTTCAAAATATTTACCGGTAATATTCAGTGAAATAATCGTTTTTGTCATTAAGCAAGTACAGTTTTCTGTTTTAGAACGTTGTCTGATGAAGAACAAATTAAGCGGTAGTAAGACAGCATCAGATACAATTATTTAATTATCTTAATTAAATTACGTCAGCTCAGCCTAGTTCAGTAAAACATAATAAAGAGTTGAAACTTTTGTTTTTGCTTGAAAATAAATTAATTCATTTACAGGAAACGATTCCACATAGGTGATGTGGCTCGTAACGTTGATTTCTTGGCCTTTCATGAACGTATGACCAGCTGTGATGAATTACGGGACAAACACTGGATGCTGTATACAATTTGTGATCGTTATGCATATTTTGTGAAACTTCCACATTCCTCGTTTGAATACAATGTAGCCTCATCACCGTTTTTATCAATTGCACAATTTACGTATGCTGAAGCGTTGGCACGGATTCCGCATCGGACCTTTTTGCGAGAATCTTACAAAATGCGTCATTTCTCTGGTAACGGCTACTTTTATTTTTAAAAATTAGTTCATTAGAGTAAAGACTGAAATAATGCTTTATTTTCATACTTCTTTCCTTCTCCTTTTTTGTTGTTTTGCTGATTACGAGTGTTTTTAAATTTTGTGAGTTACAGGTACAATATAACGCTTACTTTCTAAAAATTTACAAAAAAAAAGGAAATAACCAATGCTTTCAAATTCAAAAAAGTAAACAAATTTACGCATCTTTTTCCTTCAAAGTCAAAAACCTTGATTATGCAAAGAAAAATATAACTAAGCCTAATATTTTATTTTTAAGTAAACTAAGATTGAAGGAGTTTTCTCCTTTTGATGAGTGTTGTTTAGGTCAGGTGGTGACGATGTGGACGATGCCTCGCTGTGGATCTACCTTGGTAGCCAAGATGTTACAGGCTACGGACCAAACCAACCGGTGTGTCCTGGTATTCTCGGAGCCTGATGCCTTTAGTATGTTAGCAATTATGGTTGGCCAATATGCCTTATCAGTTTGTTATGCTCGCAGTCTGCTTCTCGCAGTACTTCGGTACTCTTGCAAAGATCAGCTTCTTCAGCAAACTATTATTTTTAAGATGAGGTTATTCCGATGGTCTTTGTTGCATGTTAATCTGTCTTTGAAAATGAACAGTGTCTTTTTTTATCTTTATTAATAAAACAAATGTAAATAAAGTGAATAAAGTTAGAAATTACAAAATTTTTTCTCTTACTTTGTTTATTTGTTTCTTTTTCTTTCTAATTTTTTTTTTGTTTAAATTCTTAATTTTATGAGAATTTCATCAAAGCTTTAATGAAATTTAAAGATCAAATTGCACGAAGCTGGTTCCCTATGTTCATGCAGTTGCTCCACACGTGTCTCAGGTTTATATCGCAAGAAGAAATCTTGAGGACACAGTAATTTCGCAGGTTACCGTTTCCAGACGTTCAGATAACATTTTTGCAACGGTAATTATCTTTATTGTATTTTATTCTTTTTCTAAGGCTTATTGCCTAAATACGTTTGAGTTTCTAAGATTTGTTCAAGAAGAATTACAAACAATTCTTTCTTCTTTAATTTACTGAAAAAAGTGATGGTTTTCTCAATAATATACTTCTTAAACCTGCTTATTTTCACACTTTAAAAAAAAAAAGATTAGAAAGTACTGTTTTAGATACTGCATCATAAAAGATTACATTTTTATAATTTATAAAAAAACACTGATTTTTATTTGTACAATAAGCAGAATAGAGAGTCAGTCATAAACTGCTTAGTTAAGTAGCGGTTAAATAATTTGCACTGAGATCTAAGTAAGCTGCTAAGCGCCTAATATACGATAGGAATTTGTGGAGAATCAAAGATAAATAAAGCTGTTACTGTAGTTTTTGCACATCGCACTTCAGTCTTGCTTGTTTGCTCTTTCTCTGCTTATTACTAGCTTTGACGTTTCAGGTATTTCTGTTTAAATTGTAGCATTGGTACTTGTTCAAAAATTGAACGTTTTGAACACTCTTCTGTAATTTTTTTTCAGCAGGTTCAGTACAAAATTTGATAACGAAAAAAAAATTTATTTACTTATTCACATATGCTTCAAAAGATGGTTTGAAGTAGAAACGACGAACAAAATAAAAAAATGTTCTTCAGTTTCTTTGATGGGTATTATTAAAGAAGAAAAGAATAGATGATATGAAAACGCTTATTTCCCTGTTTCTCATGTTCTCATGTTTCATAGATTTCAACCTCGACTTTTTGCCTCTGTCATCGCTTAATATTTAGTCAATAGGATGATCGGTATAAAGACTGAAAAATTAGCTACTCAAAAACAATTGTTTTTTTGCCTAAACAGCACTAAAAAAAGTTTTTCATTGTACAGCAATGACTATAAATTTTGCAAACAATCAAGTTATTGGTTTTAAGAAACCGTATTTCATTGTTTTGTGTCAGAATTCAAGTTAAAAAAACAGTGGTCAGAGCAACAAAAAAGTAATCCTTTGCTCATTTTTTTCTTTTAACATGATTTCCTTCGGTCTGCCGTATTCTCAGTTTTTTCCCCTCTGACTTTCTCTTATTTCTTCTTCGTTTTTTAATTTTCTGTCTTAGTGCTTTTTTAGGTAACATCAGAAAAGAACTGTTTGTATCAGCAGTTTTTTCAGCTACTAAACATAGATAAAATCACTGTAGCTTATGTTTTAGGTATTGAATGCTTATAGTTACCGTTTTGTCTTTTTACAAATTAGTTTTAAAGGTGCTTAACCTTCGCATGATACATCCATGTTTCTGCGACTGGATTACCACCTGGGGATCACTAGAGTGGCGTTTGATGAGAGAAATAGACCCTAAGTGCGTTCTGGAAGTAGCACTAGCAGTTGTGTGTCAGTCATTCATCGACTACGTACAATATGAACGCTATTTTGCTTCACCGCCTGTATTTTATGAGGATCTCGTTAGTTTATTTTATTACTTTTATCATTGTTAAAAAATGCATCTATACTTCTTTGACAGTATTGTATCAAGTAGCGTAAGACCAAAAAAAAAATAAGATAGAACAGAAAAGTCTTAACTCAGAAAAAATAATCTATGATAACAGTACCTAAACCTTAGAATAACCCGGTTTGGCTAACGAAAACAAATGACCCAGAATCAATCACCAAAATATATGCTACAAAAACACTTTATTCTCATGCAATTACTGTGACTATTTTAAAGGGTTTCAACACCAGTAATTTATTAAGAAATAACAAACAAAAGTTTTTTTACTAATACATTTTATGACATTTCTGAGATCTACTAAATAGAATACTAAAAGAAAATTGTTCAAGGACAGGTTGTTGCATGCTCCTGTCAACATCAGACTTTTCGTTTGCTGTTATCATCGTTATACAAATTAAGAGTCTTCAAACCTGAGTTTACCACCTTTATTTGATAACTTTATGAATCACTTCAAGAGCAAATTCATTTTTTCTTCTGAAAACTTAAACGCTATCATTAAATGCTTGCAGTAAATGTCAAAAATTATTATCAAAAGTAACAAGAAACTTGAAAACGTAATTTTTTGATACAGCTAGAAATTGGTTGTCAAAAGAAATTAGTCAAGCGGAAGCTTTTAGAAATGACCGCTTCAGCATTTAACCCATTCAAGCATATTAAGAAAAAGATGGTCTTTACTTTAGATTAAGGCAAACCTGTTATAACTTCTACTAACATTAATTTTACAAAAAATTTATTTTCTTGCCACTATACAGATGTATAAAGAAAGAAATCTTGTAGCGTAATTTTTATAGGAAGTTTTTGCTTTTGAGTCTTTGCTCTGCATAAGAAGTTGCTTATATTTAGCTTTCTAAGTTGAGTAAGAAATTCAAGTATGAGAATACATTAAAGTAGTTTCCTGTTAACTTTGTAACAAAAAAGCAGCGTTGCCGGGACAATGTTTTTGTACTATTTAATTTGATTAAATTTTTGCTAACTGTGCATTGTTGATAGAAATTGAGCAAAACAAACAACTAATCGGTTCCTTTGTAGCAGCATTCACAAAACTAAGCAGTGAAGAAAAAGTTAGTGTATTCGGCGCTTTCAGATGGTCGACACAGCAAGTTCACTGAAGCAACTGCTGCACGTCTGCGGAATATCGCTAGTTAATTTACCGGAATGCATTGACTGCAAACGTCACGATAGGCATTCACTGTTGTTTAAAGACAGCTTCGATCTTGGAAGAGTGGAACTAAGAACAGACGACCGGGAGACTGTTCGGGACGTTGCAGTGATGCTGTCTTATCCGCTGGTCAAATAGAGCAGTTTACTTAGTTGGATTAGTTTCCCGACTTTGGCCAACTTTTATTTTTACTTTTATTTGTCAATTAGTTTGCTGAAGAAAATAAAAAAGATTGGTTAACAGCAACGTTCAATAATTTAAAAAAATAAAAAAGTTATGGCCAAAGTCTATAGCGCAGCAGAAAAAAAGAAAATTTTTGCCAATTTTTTTCTTGCAAAAACAATTAATAGTTTCTTGCAACTGAAAAACAACATAAAGAGTTTACTTAGAATGACTATTTGTCTTCTGTACAGCAGAATAAATCGACCTGAAAGCGCAAAAAAAAATTTTGAACGTTTGAAAAATTAAGTTTTTAAAGTTCCTGTCAAAGAAATTTGGCAAAATCATTTGAAATGTGACGTTGTTTATAAATGCTGTATTACTGATAAAGTACTGAGTCAAGGAAGTAACTGCATCAACCTTTTATTTTCTCCGACTTGACTGCCAAACTCGGCTTCTTATCATCATTCTTTTACTGTCGTCGGTCACTTTAATTGCGGCGATTGGCTCACTGAAGCTCAATGATGACTGGAGGACAAATTACCGAAGTAGTTGGTTGGGTTGCAGACAGTTGTTAAGAAGAACTTCTTATTTACGTAGGGTACATTATAAAAACAATCTGTGACGTCTCACCAAACATCTTCGACTTTTGTTTTTTTCAAAGTATTTGCACGTAAAAACAACTTCGATGTACTAGAGACTCGGTGGAGCGTTTTAGGTTGAGAAAGTTGGATGATGTCAACGTGATTGTCTTTTAATCGATTGCGATCTTTCTCATTATTGGTTGACTAAATAGTCTCAAAATTGTCATATACGGATGCTTTGCAACTTCTGAAAATAACTGATGGCTATAATTCCTAATAGTTTACTTTCACCACTGACAGTAAAGGCAAGAAAACATAGTTTATGCACCAGCAACTTAAAGTAATAAAACTTGCAAAACAACCAAGCAGATGCATTTGTCAATGACATTTACAAAAGTAAAAAAGCATCTTTGGCAACTTTAAGCTATCTGTATAAAAAAAAAGTGGCTAAAATTTGTTGTTCAAAAAGAATTTCAAGAAGAATAAATATGCATGTTAAATACTGTCTTTAGAAATCATGGGCATTTTGGAAGAGCATATTTTCTATAAAAAATGTTCCGTCCTTAAAATTGGTTATGGTCATTTGTATTCTTCTCTATATTCTGTCAATTGGATAACTTTGATAAATCTTAGAAGGAGAAAGAAAAAGGACTTGTGTTCCTACTTCATTTATCACTTGTAAACTATCAAACAGTGAGTGTGTGCCGTTTTCTCTCTAATTTTTTTTGTTTTTTAGGCAAGTGTAATAACTACTTGAACTTCATCTATTGTCTATATTAAAATAAATCACTGATTTGAACTGCATAACCAATTTATAAACGGTAGTTTGTTATCTGCTGTTTTCAACTTCTACAGATTTGAAACGTGGAAAAAAAAAAAGTATACAATGCAGTTTTGGAAATGTGGTGGTAATAAACAAGATAAAAAAAAATTTTTTTGATAAATTGTTGTTACTGAAAATAGAAGTCATTTTGAAATTATTTTTTTTTTATTTATAATTTTTTTTCTAAAACGTTGATCTTTTGTAAAAAGGGGTAATACAAAACTGTTTATACAGTTTCACCACGGTATATACTCCACGAACAATGACAGCAGTAAAAAGCTTAGGCTGACAAATTTCTGTTTGGTAATGACCCATTTCTTAAAATTTGGTTAATTTAAAAGATTGACCTTATCGTGTTTTAAGAGAAGGATTACAACGGACTTTGTTATCATCTGTTATTTAAATAATTAGTACAAGACGAGAGAAGATTGTAGAAACAATTTCTACTTTTTTATTACTGAAATTACAGGTTGACCGCTTTGACTGATAATCAAAAATTTAGCGACTTTTTTTTTTAAGGGAAAGAAGAGGAGGGTTTAGGAGTAACCTAAAATTTGTAATTTGCATTAATCATAATTGTAAATTTTTTTTAAAAAACGTTTTTTTCCTTAACATCGAAGAACCATAACTGTTTGTTGATGACAATAAGTATTGAACAGATTAGAGACACGTTTAGTTTTTTCAGTTTCTTCAATTTTAGGATCACTACTGACGTGACAGCAGCTTAACAGTATTATTGTTGATATGGCAAATAATTTTACTGATGTTACGCTATGTGGGGTTACAGTTAGCGGTTACAGGATAAAACTGGTAACAACCGGTTTTTGCTGTTGCATTAATTCTAAGACTTTACCAATAAGGAAGAAACTTTAGACTAGTGTTTAAGTAGTTGTTACGCTATAAAACACATAATAACACTTTGTTCTCTATAAAAGCTATTAATGATTTAAGATTAATAAATTAATGAAAAAAAAAAAATAAAAAAATTCTAAATGAAAGAAGGGAAGTCAGCGAAAATTAATAGTCAAAAAAAGAAGAAGAAAAAAGCTGTAAGACATTGAATGGTGCAATTTTACTTTTTTCTTTTTTACTTTGCACAACCTCTTTTTTTCTCCTTTTTTTTTTTTCCTTTTTTCAAATTATAACCAATAATGAATAAAATTGGTAACCGTCACCAATTTTTTTACAGTTTATGTTTTTTGCATTACCTCTTTCGCATTTCTTTTTTACACGTATACTTCAGCACAAAAAAGTCATCCAAGTTTATTTGAACCTTAATCTATTTTCATTGCGTAGGTGATCATTCATTAGACGAGCCGAAAAAAAAA